TGTTCGAAATGATACCACGATGGATTTGGAGTTTGGCAACGAATGACATTTGTTACTCCAGCCGTCACCGTGAGACAAAGGCATGTGAAGAAAAATTTTCCCATCCACGCTAGAATATCTACTCATCGACCTTACCTAATGGTTGCCGTGAGCTATACGACTAGCGGAGAATAATGCTAGGTGACAAAAGTCACTGCTCGCCTGCAGACCGTCTTTGAGTTTTACAATGAAGAAGATGGTTTGATGGTGAGACACATGCTTTCGTGAAGTGCTACTTTTTGCGAATAGCATTAAGATGACATTGATGTCTGTCGCATTCCCTCTAACGAGAGTGAGCATTGTCGGCTGCATAGTTTGTAGTCTTTGACCCATGATTGTCAAGATTATTCGTTGGTTGAATATACTATTTGATGATGTTCAGAACGATCTGCTAGAAGAAGCAGATATTATGTTGCTTGGGTTCCAGCCCACACGCCTCTTAACAACAATGGGTTAGGTTCACAACAATCTTTTATAGCCAATGTCATTATATCCTTTTCCATATATACCTCTTGTATCCATCAAAGCGTCTTCGGCCAGGCACTTGCACTCCACTCGTGTGTCGCGTAAATCAAAACGGATCCCCCCAAGTCCAACCCACCAAAGACTCCACCACCCACCTTGATTCCCATCAACATCAAACAGGCAACCAACCCATGAACGCAAAATAGTATCGACGTTTCAAATACTCCCATGCGACACATCCTCTAACCGTGCACAAAACCTAGTTGCAAAGAACATGTCAAGATGATAAGGCTGATTCCGCCTACTCAGGGTCTGTGTGTCATTCTCGTATTCGTGTTTTGAAGCACTGACAATGACAACGACAAACCCAGTCCCCCCCCCCCCCAAAAAAAACACTAATTATGACTATTAGGGTGTTGATACCTGATTCTGATAGTTTGATGTTATGACGTGCCGCCATTTAGTTCTGGGAAGAGACATATTTTGTATACGCTCGCTATATGACAAAATAGATACAAAGTATTGGGGAGTCGGAAAAAAAAGGGCGATCCGAAAGTATGGAACCTTTGCTCAAAAGTAAAGGGGCTCGTGTGTATGCATGGAGGGGGCAATGACGAATACGAAGTGGGTAGAGATTAAGCAAAAAAAAAATAGAGGAAAAATGCGCGATGAGGGAATGGGTAGATTGGGTAGGGATGTTTATGTGCGGTCGGTGCGGTCGGTGCGGGGGATTGGCGGTGATTCAGGTAGAATGGTGGATAGTGGGATGTAATATGGAAAGTATTTGTTGGGGAGGATTGTAGATGTGGTCGGGTGGACATGGTGATATAGAGGGATGGGGTTGGAGAGGGTTCAAGCTCTTGCTATGGTGATTTAGAACTGTCATGCTTGGCTTAGATATGTTTGCGGGATATCGATATAGATGTCCTATCATTATATTTATGTTTTCAGGAAATAGAGCTTGTGTGATTGTGTGTGATACTGGTTGTCAAGTTTTAGTTATAATGTGCTCAATGCCTGATTAATATAATATAGGTGACAGCTCGCATACCTCACGTATGCAACACTTCGCTGTATTCATTCAGTACGCTTTCTATCCATACCAAAGCGTTGGGTTCGATAACAAGTGTGCTAGCACTGTAAGGTTTGATATGCCATTGCGATTGGCTGATCTTTGTGACGCGTCACTGGAGTCATGACATGAGAAGAGATGTATGGCGATCTTCCGTCTATCACCATAACAAGCATCATGACTGGAGGAAATAAACCTTCAAAGCCCGATGTAAAGGTTTCAGGAGACTAACAGACGTAATTCTCGTGTCTAGCATGTTGCTTGGATACATCAGCGGCTGACGCAATCGTATGTGTGCACTGTCTTGCGTCGTTTCAGCTTCGGGAGCCTGTACTGTTGATGTCATTGGTTCGAGGAAGATTGCCCTATATGTACTCCCTAAAGATATAGGGGACGTAAGAGGTGAAGCGATTTCATATCCCCAGCTTTGAAGATTAACTATGGAGAAGTTCCAGAAGGTGCAATCAACAGTGCATAGTGTAAATTCAATCTGTGCCGAATCTATGACAAGGATATTTGCTTCTTAACTAACGCAGACGTGGAATCGTGATCGAAACGATATGCATGAACTGCACGGGGAGTTCCGACAGGCCAGTGCAACGGTCAAGGAAATCCGAAGGGGGTTGTTGAGACGATCGGTTCTTGCTTTTGTTATATGTAACATCAACGTTGTCGGGATAAAACAAACGCGAGTTGACCGTTGACACCATTTTCATTAACGCTCCGAGGTTGCTTGTTCCCAAACGGGAGTCAATGCCCTAGAGTTGTTTTCCGTGAGGCCCGACGATCCGGGCCCGAGCAATGCAAAGTGCTGACAAGATGGCGGTGTTTCGAATACCTCAGCTGAGCACATCACTGTTGGTCAATAAAGACATATTTGGTCCCACTTGTTTTCCCCTCCGAGTATATAGAATGGCACGACAAACCACATGAGGTCGAGTGGAGCGAGCAGACCCGAGTTTTGTGGGCTGGCTACGGCAGCGGGATTGCCATGCCAAGTAGGAAGGCGGGATGTGAGTTTATGCAAAACAAAGCGTGGGTCGGGACAAGCCGGTTACTCGAATGAGGGTGACTGGGCGCATGGAGAGCAGAACACGAACCATTGTACCCGACCATCGTATCCAAAGCTCGTCGAGGGCTGTGTTTGCTGCACTGTATGGACTGTCGTGGGAAGAGACGCAATAAATCTGACTCAGCTCTTGCCACCATTCAGAAGAGAGCTTGGGTGGTGCATCGTCGCTAGTCGCCCGGGACGCGTTTAGCCGACAGTGCAGGAGTGCAGAGGAATATCGTCTCCAAGGCGTAGGAGATTGATGACGGACCAACCACAAGCATTGGGAGCGCTGTCCGGGACGCGGCTCCCATTGTCGCAGTCGGAGCTAGGACACTGCTTGCGGGGTAGTGTACCGACTAGTCGGTGAGGGTGAAGGGGATGTGTGCAGCCAGTGTCATCATCAGCAGGGGCGTTGAGTGTGGTATGGCAAGGGCGCTTCCATGGTAGCCCAAAGCTGTCATGATCTCATCGTCAGTGGGAGACGATGGTGTTGTTTGTGGAAAAGAGGAATGGCTAGTTAGTGCATTTGGGCGTGGTAGTCAAGGAACCGCGCGTGGCTAGCGGCTGAGTCAGGTGGCCGGATCAGGCACGCCAATCAGCTTGGGGACCGAGGGTTCCGTTTCAGACGTCAGTGTGCGTCGGAGTCCTTCGTGCTGCTGCTCCACCTGTCACCAAATTGCGGAAACACCAAACCGCCCACTGCAACGCGCGCGCCTCTTGGGCTTTCTCCATCGCCGTCGCGCTACTTGCTTGCCTACTTACGTACGCTTGACAATGGTCAACGACCTTCGCGCCCGTGCCTCCCAGGGTGTGATCGGGGAGTGTGATGGGAAGCCTTGGCTGCCCAAGGACCACATCTCGCCGTGCGCAAACACCCCCACAGCCACACGGGAGAAGCAGCACAAAGATATGACCAGCCGTCCGCGAGGTATTCGCCGTCTTCACACCCCTCGTCTGGACACGAACTATCGATAGGGGCTACCATGCATATGCATATACGACCGCATGTGTGTATCTTTAGGCATACATACGAGCTTTGCCACCCACCTGCCTGCCATCAGACACAGACCGTTAGATACGGTGCCCGTCCCTTCTTATCCACGGAAGGAAGAGGCAAGCACGGAAGCGGCCTGACTTGATTCGTGACGTGCTCAAAGGAGCGGAAATGATCAGAGAGTCCTTACTTATTCGTCGTCCCGTTGTGCTACGGCGTGGAGGGGGGGCGAACGCGCGGAGGGTTGAGTGCGCACCACAAACGACCACCATGTGAAGCTCGCCGTTTGCCCTCTCGCCCGCTGCTGACAGTCGAGGCATGTTGTCACAGAGAGTTACGAGCTTATTTAGGAGCATGCGGTCTAGATATGTAGGCCAAAAAAGGGCCTGCTCGCCGGCAACCCCGCAACGCTCTTCGCCTCTCACCTACCCAGAGCAGCAGAGTGCGCGCTGCAGGTTCAGCAGATGCCCTGGAAAGGTTCCGACACTGGGCTGTTTCTTCGCTGCAGGCATGTCTCTTGGCTAAAAAGAACGCTAAATATACTTGGTCAAGACCAGGGGCGTTGGCGAACATCGACGACAGGTACCGGACATGATTGGCCTGTCTTACCAAGTGCCCCTGACAGGCCAGGTGTGCATGGTGTGTCCTCACTCGTGCCGTCGCCGCTCAGGCCCTTTGGCATCATGCCTAGGCCCACTCCGAATCATGCCCTTGCACAACCGTGAAGGGTGGACGGACCCTTCGCAGCGGCCGGTTGGCCTTCTCCCCCTCGCTCAGCCCAGGCTCGGGCTCACCTGTCTCTCTCTCCAGCTTCAGCTGCTGCGTGCCTGAACAGCCTCACCTGCACGGCTTCCCCCCATCCCCTCCTTCGACACCTGCACACCGCTGAGCTGTGCTGCCTCTCCTTTCGCTCTCTACCCTTCGCATACGTCGACGCCTCTTTGAGAGAGCGCTACCCCCGTCGCTCTCCGCGTATTCGTCCAAGCAACCCGTTGCTCTCCCACAATCCCTTCCACCTCGCCCTCGCACTTGCTCACGGCGCTTTTTTTGTCGCAGATTCGAGTACGTCCCTATTGGTCGCGCTCTATACTCAGTCATACTGATGTTGTATTTCTTGCAGTCGATTGCTCTTGCGATTCCTGAAGCAGACTAACATCGCATCGCTCCCTCGACAATCAAATACATTTCGTGTCGCTCAATCGAACGAAACCTCCTGGCCACTTCTGGACACCTAATCGACCGTGACTTGCGCACATCGCTATGAGAAGTCGGGCGGAGACATAATTGGTTTATTCATTGCTTTTTCCGTCCCGAGTCGACACTAAACGCTCGTTCCGTTCGCTTTTCATCCCCGATCCCCCGTGATCTACACCATCATGGGCACACCAAAACCAATCTACCCGCTCAAGGAGCACTGTTCAATCATCTACGAAGAGACGCTTTACGTATACTCGCCAGCTGGATTCCAATCACTAAAACTTGAAGAAGGCGCTAAATGGCAGGCCCTACCCATGGATGTATCGCTTACAGGAGGACGATGTGTAAAGGCAGTACCCAATGGCAACACTCAGGACGCCAAGCTGTTCATTGTTGGAGGAAGAGTTAATGCAACAGCCTCCGATTGGAACTACCCTGGCTTGATGCACTACACATTTTCCACGAAGAAGTGGGACTGGCAACGCTCAGAGAGCTGGAACACGCAGGAGCGAATCAACCATGGCGCCGCATACCTTCAGGACTCGCAAAAGATTCTCGTCTACTCTGGATCGCAGGCCGACGGCGGTGGCCCGTCCGCCGAAACTTTTCTGATTTCTACCGTCGCTCCCTACTCTGTCGCGGGTCTGCCATCGGCTGGTGCGCCGCTCACTGTGAATCCCATGTTGATGGAGTCGAATGCGAACACTGTTTTGCTGGTGGGTGGAGGTGCATCAAACACAGCCGTCTGGAAGTTTACAGAAGCATCTGGATGGCAGGATCTTGGTGTCGCTTTGCAACAGCCTATCACCAACGAAGACGCTGTCAAATGCTCGATAATCTCCAACAAGGAAGGAGGAGTCGCCTTGCAGAAGTTCGATATGAGCGTTTCCCCAAACACCGTTGAACGAATACTACTATTGAACAAGGACGGATCGCCTGCAGCCCCGGGAACTCGAGTTGGAGGCAAGACGGGAGGCAAGACGAAACGTGTGACCTTGAACAGCTGGTCGCCATACAACGAAACACTCGCACCTACGACGACACGATCAAGTTACTCCTTAGCACAAGGCAATGATGGTACTGTTGTTGCAAGCGGGGGTAACGATCAGGAACCGATCGCTCTGTTCAATGCCCAGCAAAACTCTTGGATGAACGCGTCAGCGGTATTTGAGGGGCAACAGGTGCTCGTAAATTCCGTTTCCTCTTCAAGCGTGTCAACAACCGCAACTGCAACGGCATCTGCATCCGTATCTGCCTCTGCCTCTGCCAGCCCCACCAGCACAGAAGCTGCCGCGTCACCGGCAGGACCTCCTGACAACAAGGGACGTATGCTGACCGTGCTTGGTGCCACACTCGGAACCATTTTCGGCATTGCGTTGATCCTCATCTTGATTCTGTTCTGTCTCAAGTACAGGAAGAACAAGAGCAAGAAGAACGCCTATGTCGAGAAGAATGACCGCATGAGCTTTGCTGATCGAGGAGCTGCTTTTATGAAGGAAGCTGGTGGATCTGTAGCCAGTTATCCAAAGAACAACGAGTCTACCACATCACTCGCCATCATTCAAGGTCGAGGTGGTGGTCACAAGAAGAACATGGCAAGCGATGCTAGCACAGCTGGTCTTGTCAAGAAGACCAGCCCTCTTGGTTACTCTGAGCAATACTCTGAGCCTTACGAGCTTGCCAAGTTTGACCTGAAGCCAGAGCCTGTCGAGCCTATGGTTAGGCAAAACTCGAGCCGAACAGCCCAGCCTGCACCAAGAGCTCGCAGCTCAGGCTGGAGTCGTTACTTTGCGAACAATGAGGCCACGAATCTCGCTAGTGCTCCTCCTGCTGATAGGTCTACATTCGCGTCAGACAGGACAAGCACGGCCAGTCAGTCACAGTACACAAGCTCAAACATGCACAGCTTGCGCCCATCCCAACACATTGCACCGCTGGAGATTCCCAAGTTCAGTGATGGACAGCGTCTGAGCAGTGTAGCTAGTGGAAGCCCAACCCTTGGTACACCCACATCCGTCCTGCCTCATCAGATGCAGCCTATGCAAGCAGAACTTGCCCGTGCCAATTCCAATGCTAGCTCGATATCCGCTTTCAGCCATCACGACGCTCACCAGGCTGTAGACAATTGGACTCCAATGGGCAATGGCCGACGAAGCAGCAGCAACTACACTGGCAGTGTGGCGATTGACCATGGAAAATTCGACGGTACCAGCTCATACTATCCCGACGGAACTGACTCGTTCTACCCCAAGAGCAACTTTAGTTCTTTCTACCCTGGTCAGGGAAATACCCCGATGATTCCTGATATCCGCGACAGCACAGCAACAACTTTCCCATCTGGCGTTGCCCCTCCTGTACCGACGGAGCAAGTGCCACAAAGCAAGTTCAGTTCCATGTACCCCGCAAACCCGCAACTTGGTCTTCCTCAGGAGCGCGAAAGCGTCGCCACGCTCTTCCCAGGTGGCCCAGGTGGTGCCGCAGCGCATCAAGACACAGCACTACCGAGTCCCAAGTTCACCTCATTCTTCGCGACACCACGAGCCGGACATGAGAGCACAGTCACCATGTTCCCCGGTCCTGCACACACTGTGGGCGAAGGGAAAAAGGAGCAATCTGACATGTCTTGGCTGAATCTTGGCCAGAGCCGATAAACATCTCACTGTACGTTTGGTCTGTGCACCCTCACGTCGATAATGAGCCCATCCACGCCATCCATCCCTCGTCTTGGAAATCAGCGTCTTTAGCGAACCGAACCTCGTCCCTATCTCTATATACAGCAGTCAGATTTTCCTTTCTTGAGCATCATAGCATTCTCAGCGCCGGGCGTCTCTTTCATTTTTTTCGGAGACACAAAATATTATTCAACCCAACCACATCAAAGGAGGCCTTATGCTTTCCACACTCAGTCGCTACAGATACCCGACGCCAAACCTCCCCGCACTAAGCGCGTCAACCACTTCCTCTCCATCACCGCCGTCATCGCCATCATCACCCATCGACCCACCTGTCAATGTACCCTCTCGATCCCGAGGGATCTAGTGTATATAAAACACCAACCTCTTTTCCTTCTTTACACTCTTTTCATATTGTTTTGTCAATATTCTCCTTTTTGTATTGGTCTGTGTCCAACCAAATCTGTCTCCCCACCCACCCCTCGGTTGGTTGCTGGCCTCCATCGTCTGATCTCCTGATTCCGATGATACCTTGTTTGTTTGTTTGTTTTGCTTGTTTTTTTTCGCATTGGCGTAGTATGGCAAGACGGAATGATATAAGGGGGGTGTGGTTGTGTCTTTCTCTCCTCTGATTCTGTCTTGCCACTTGTGTGTGTGGGTTGTATATGGCTCAGCTGAAGTGAGCAGGAGGAGCAGCAGTAGTGTAGTTGCTGGGGAGGTGTGCATAGTCTGGGCCTGTAGTTGACTGGCTGTTTGGTGCGTGTTTGGCTATCTCTCCATCCCGCTGCCCCCATTGACGTATGTTGTTGGGAAACGTTAATATTATAATGAAAGAAGCGAGTGTTGTCGTGTCATTATCTGTCAATCTGATGTAACGTGAGGTGTTTGGATAGCTGATTATTTGTATGTTCAGTCATCTGTTACTGTTGTCTCTGTGCTATGTCGTGTGAAGTGGAATCGATGTCTATACGAGATTCCCGAGACATACTGTCACCTTGATGGACCTAGGATACGCTTTAAACATTTGTACACTTGAAATAGTATTGCACCTAAGTATTATCTGAAAGAGAATGCTATTCATTCTACCTATCATACCCACGACGTCTTGACCCCCCTCCCTCCACATCATGTTCCTCGCCATCCACCATCACCATCCACCCACAAAAAAGGAGGCCCACCACACAACACACGAATGCAGCCAACAACACCTGCCTGGAAAAACAAAAACAACTGTCCCGTGCCAGACTCGAACTGGCGGCCTTGGGATATCTGCTTGTACAAAGCAGTCATACATGATAATATGAGACCCACGTGATAACCAACTACACCAACGAGACGATTTCAAGCAATGCTTGAGTTGGGGGATGAGGAGGAACTCGATGGCGGACTTGAAATTTGGGGTGTATCTATTATTGGCGCGAACGAGATTTATGAGTGACATTGGCTATAAAGATGTTGTCTTATTCTTGGATTGATTCCAGGTTTTGCCTACTACAGGTGTAAGAAGATGGTTGCCAAGTCGCTCGTTGTGACATCTTCCAGTACTCCGTGGAAAAAAAAAGGGGGGAGCTGGAAGAGTATGGCTCAAAATGCGCAGAGAGTCAGGAATCGCAATTGTGCAAATCCAGACTCTATCTTTCTTCTCGCCATCTCACTCCTTAATCCCTCTAAAAAAAAATTGCCCCCAGCGTAACTGGAAATCTCCGCTTCCCTCGGCGTTTTTTTTCTCGCTGGTAGCGTCCCTTTGCCCCCGCTAACCAACACAGCCGCACCCCCGTTGGCAACAAAAAGAAGCCAACCGGACCATCCCTACCTTCGCCAGGTAGGGTTACGCCCGCGAAAAAAAAAGATGATTGGTCACTACGAGGGTCGAACTCGCGACCTTGGCGTTAACTGAAGGCCTTCTCCAGGAGCAAAGTCTCTGGCGATGGATTATTAGCACCACGCTCTAACCAACTGAGCTAAGCGACCGACTTGGTTTCTTTGATGGAAAGAATGGAGAGAGGAGGCGTTATGAAGCGCGAGAAAAAACGGTTGTTTCGTTTGTGAACGGCGTTGGTAAATTTGGTGCGGGGAGGGGACTGCCTGGTTCGGGTGGGTGGGGGTGGGCTGCCTAGTCTCGGCTGCAACGTTCATGTTTGGTTTGGCTTACTCCGAAGCGTAGTGTATTCAAGATTGCGTTTTTTTTCTTGTGGAAATGCTCGTGTGTTTTGTCGGTATTACAAAAATACGAGGTCGAGATGATACTAAAGACTAACGGCCGTTGCGATGACAAGCCGCCGAATACGTGAATAATCTCGGTAGTCGTATGTCGTCATCCGTTGTACGCGTTGGCGTACTTATTCAAAAGACGTTTTTTGTGATCGCTACCCGCCGTATCTTCGGCCCGCCGTGACAAGCATAATATCTCTTTCTAGAAGTCTGCGAAGCCATGCCATCTCGGTGGTCAACCGCCCAGCTGCCCTAGGTACTTCTCCACCTCATCATTACCGTAAAACATCGTCTGCAGTTTCTCGTGCTTCTTCTTCTCGACCTGCGCAAGTTTCCTGACCTTGCCGGCATCAAGTCTACCCTGACTGACATCCGCACGACTAGCACCGCCCAGCGCCTTCTGCTTTACATGCTCTTTCTTGTCTATGCCCAAACCAAACTTGTCGCGCTTCTCCTTGGGGACGAGCGGGAACAACATGCCCTGACCACTTGATCCCAGACCTTTTCTCGCATCTACGTCAAAGCCGTGCTTCTCCATGTACTTGAGCCCCATCCTCGTTCGGTCTATGGCCGAGGGGATGGGCGCGCGGGGGAGAACAGCTTGATGTGCAGGACTCAGATAGTGAATGCGCTGATCTGACTCCTTGACAGGCTCGCCACATATACCGCACCGAGGATATGCATCGGGCTCTGGTTGTGACTGGCCGTTGGGAAACATGATGGCGAGATACTTCTCTGCCATGGTCTTGCCATTTGTCGATGCAGCTGCTGGCTGTGTCTCAGGAGTAGACGAGACGAATTGAATGGGATTCTTCCACAGACCCCGGCCAAACGCGCGCTGCTCGACAAACGGTACGGTAGATATGTCAGGATCATCTTCGGGAAACTCATCTTCTGTCTGCTGCTCTCTAGACGCGTGCGTTGTAGAAGATGCCGTCATTTTCTTTTTGTGGCGGGCAAATCACGTAGAGGCAATAAGGGGTGCAGCGTATGAGCTTTTGTCTGGATGGGTGAATTGGCGGCAATCTGTTGAACGCGTAGTCACGTGATATGACGCCACGTGCGTTCCTGCGGTGCTTGGGCATTAGCGAGCCACGGTAGAGCCGCGTCCCCGAAGCCTTCCCGTTCCCACTTTCCGCCAAGAAACATGCCCGTCAACATCATCGCCCAGGCCTTCGCCGAGGGCATTGATTCCATTCCCTATGGCTGGACCATAATCAAGGCTGCGGCCGTATTTGCAGCCATTTATGCGCTGAAATGGTTCTTCAATGGCGCCAACAACGCCTCCGAGAGAAACATGCACTCCAAGGTGGTCATGGTCACGGTAAGTCTTTAGCGTCTGATATTGAACCCTACTAACGGAAGCAGGGCGGAACAACCGGTATAGGTGCTGAAGTAGTCAGAGGCCTGGCGTCTCGCGGTGCACAAATTGTCCTCCTCGTCCGACAGCCACTCGTCGACCCCTTTCTCGTCGACTTCATCGAAGACCTGCGCACGGAAACTGGCAACGAACTCATCACTGCCGAGCATGTCGATCTCGAATCTCTGTACAGCATACGCCAATTCGCAACAAAATGGGTCGATAACGCACCGCCTCGACGTCTGGACATGATTGTTCTCTGTGCAAATACCATGACACCCCCTGGGAAAAAAGCAACGCAGACAGAGGATGGCTTGGAATCGACCTGGGGGGTGAACTACATCGCCAATTTCCATTTATTGAGTATTCTTAGCCCAGCGCTTCGAGCACAGCCTCCTGATCGCGATGTTCGAATCATCTTCGGTACCTGCTCTTCATACATGGGAGGAAAGCTGCCGGGCTTAGAGGACAAGTCGAAGAAGAACGCCAAGAGTGAGCCTGGACAACTGGATTTTACGCCATCGACTGTGTACGCAACATCGAAGCTTGCCCTCATGACGTTTGCTGTCGCCTTTCAGAAGCATCTCTCCAAGTATGACCGTCCCGACAAGAAACCAATGAATGCGCGCGTCATCATGGTAGATCCGGGCTGGACACGCACACCTGGTATGCGACGCTATCTGACCTTTGGTACGCTTTGGGGTCTGGCACTATACACTATTACATGGCCGTTTTGGTGGATGGTCCTGAAGAGTGCCGATCAAGGTGCACAAACTTTCCTCTACGCTGCCATGGAGGCCCAGTGGGGTAGGGGCGAGGGTGCATATTTCCTCAAGGAGTGCAGACGATCCATCTGGAACAGGAAAGATATCGACGACGAGCTTCTGCAGAAGAAGCTATGGGAAAGCAGTGAGAAGACGATTGAGATTCTTGAGAAGGAGAGCGCGAAGAGGAGAGCTGCTGAGAAGAAGCAAAAGGAAAAGGCTGAGGGTAAGAGCGCTGCGAAGGCGACCAATGGACAGACCAAAAAGGCCTAGTTTTTAGGTGTTTCATGGTCGATTTGATGAAGGGTTGTTTGCAGAGATGAGTAATGTGTTGATGGTTTTAGATGTACTGATTTTCATGATAAAAGCCTTTTGTGTTTGTTTGCATTTACAGTGTCTGGTGACGAGTCACAAAGTTGTCAGACCATGTTGTTATGTTAGATGGCAAGAGAAACAAAAGTTGAGCAATAATTCAATTAGACTATATTCTTTACAAGCATTTTTCTTTACAAGCATTTACTGAGGGTCCGAAATGTTACGGTCTTGGTTATAAGCACATGGAGTTTTGACAAGTGCAAGTTCCGGTAGTAACTCCGCTAGTATGATTTCGCAGTACTAACAGGCGACGGCATCGTATTCTTCGGTACAGCACCTGTCATTCCCAACACAGGTGATCCACGTCTTCTCACCAAACCGATCCCTGGATTAATGACGCATCAGAATCGATTGCATAACAGTGGGCATGTACTCTGGGTCTGGATCTCTCCCTACGAGCATCAACCGTGGTACGAAACAAAAAACAAGAAAGCATAGGGGCGTGGCATGAACACAATGCAACTTGGACCAAACTCTCTCGAAAGAAGAACAGTATCAAGACCAGAGCATTTCATGCAGTTCTTATACCCTTAATGGCAAGGAGTATATCGAAAGCATATTGCGATCAGCGAGACATTACAACTAGGTCGGAGATACGCACATCCGGCCTAGTTCTTACTCAAATTTTTCGTCAGTATACATACTTACACATTGCTGTGTGCTTGGCACAAATGAGCCATGGAATAGAGGCAATAACGATCATCTCTGTTCGGTACCCGAAACCTGTACACACTATCATGCGATGCCGCGACACGGTCCTCTTTGCCCCTTATTCCTTTACACCTACAAGCCAGAGCCGACCGGAGCAAAAAGAACAAGATCTTGGGAAAGGAGATTGGTTACTGTTTGTTTCTTAGTAGCAAATATAGGGCCCCTCATGCGAGAGTGTTGGCTGGGAAAAAAATCCTCCCGCGTGAAGTGCCGGGCGGCCAAGTTCATGATTTTGATGCGGAAGACGGCAATGGCTGCTTGGTACGGCTAATATCTGGGCGACGGCTGGAGTTTAGAGGAGGTACTACTATAATCTGTATTGTCAATTGTTAGCGTGGACCGCTCTCTGGTGGTGGCGGTAACGATGTTTTCAGGAGATTCATGCCTTGTTGCATTGTTGGCAAAGCACTGGTATGCTGAGCGCACAAAACAACAAGAAGCAGGATATCACGACTGACGGCGAGGCTGTCAACAACGGCGCATGCACCTCATCCGTCCCTGCATTCCCTTTGAGTGGAGCACCATGTGGACTGTCCTGGAGACGGCGCATGGAACCCCTGTCGTGCTTATAAAGTGGAAATTCGACAACAACGCTAGCGACGTCGTTGATAGGTGTGCCATTGGCCCGTCAGCCACTTCTCCCCACGCCAACGGGAAATGAGACTCAAGCCAAGCGGTGATGCCAGGTAGAGTGTGGTCATACGGCGAGGCTGCCGGCGCTGACGAAGAGCAGGTTTTACGAGGCAGTGTTTGCGCTCACCAGGTATGCGACCCGTACAGCAAAAGCACAACACCAAGTCGCCAATCTAGCCGCCAATCAAGACAAAGGAGAGCATGAGAACAGCGTCCTGGACCAGCGATTCATTTTGACCAGCGCGTGATTGTTATCCAATATGCTCGCCCGCGGCTATATCCTACTGGCGCTGTTGCAATCTTAAATTTGCGCCCCCTTGTTAACCGCCCTTTCTCCAAACGGGCAGGCGGATGAGCATACTATCGTGAGTTGACGAGCCGCCTCCCCAGTTTCAAATACTGCCGGGATCCTCTTCATCAATCTGTTTCTCTCGCGCTTCCCCTCCAAACCTTACGCTCATTATTCTTGGTTGCCTTGCGTTGTTGTCGCACTCATCCCCACACTCATTTTCGGGTTTCGCTCACGCCACATATCCTAGAGATATACCAAAAACATTCATTTCCAATCAATCAACACCAAACAAAAGCAAAAAACAATGCGCTTCTCCACTGCTGCTGTGGCGCTCGGTGCGCTCTTTATGGGCGCCAGCGCGGACGTCGCTGCTGTTGCGTAAGTCAACTCCACATTTCATTCAAACTATGATCAGCAAAAAAAAACGCGACGACCACGCGTTCTTTCCACAAACACAACGTCAGACGCAAAATGAGACTCTTGGCTAACCCGAAAACCCTACAGTCCTGAAATTCAAACCTCGGTCCTCATGGTCCTCGCCCACGCCATCCCTTCGCAAAGCATATCCTACGCCCTCGCCAGCCCCGCCGCCTTCGCCTCGGAAATGGCTTCGTGCCTTTCTGCCAGCAGCACCCCGGCGTGGTACCAGGCGCTGCCCACCGATGTGCAGAGTCTCCTGCCCCAGATTTATCCTCAGGAGACGCCTACCCCCAGCCCTACTCCCTCGGCGACTCCTTCGTCGACTCCCAGCCCTACTCCTACCCCTTCGTCCAGCGCCGTCGTCACGCCCTACCCAACTGCAGGCTTGAACAGCACGAGTGCTATTACTAAGCCCCCGACCAGCGCTACGGGCACTATTAGTCTGAGCTTGATCCCTACCCCCAGTGCTACGGGTCCTGAAGGCCCTGCGTTCACTGGTGCGGCGTCCAGGCTTTCGCTCAGCGCTGGTCTTGGTGCTTTCATCGGCTTGGTCGGTGTTCTTGCTTTGTAAAGAAGATCCTCGTCTTCTTTACTCCGCAAACTACTTTCTTCTTCGTTTTGCACTGTCTCTTTCCCAATTCACTTCGTGCTGTAGCATGGAGTGACGGGAAATGGGAGAGTGTAATATTTTATTTTACAGGGCAGCGCCTCTTATTTTTTTTTACTGGCTAAGCTCACAAACGCTTTCTCTCACGACGCGATGTTGTTACTCCTTCCTCCAGAAGGAACGATCCGCATTATACCTTTTTTTTGAACTTTTTTGTTTGATTTAACTGGCGGATACGAACATGTTTTGATGGGTGATATTATACCTCATGAGAACCTGGTTGTTAATGTTTTTTTGTCTTGTATTTGCCGGGCTGGGCTTGAAGATGAGGTGGGCCAGAGGGAGGAGGACTGGGATGATGATGAAATGGGAGATGATGCTAGTAGCAGTAGTATATAGCTTTTTGTTTAGTTTTAATTCTTAATCAGTTCAATGCTGGAGGGCTATTTTTATTGTTGTCCCGTTGGGAGATTACACAAGTGATGTACTTGCGACGCGGGAGCAGGGTTCTTCTTCGTGTTGGGCGGCTCGGTCCGTGGGGGGCGGAGGGAACGACACGCGTCGGTCTCGTATTGATGGCTAGTAATGCCTCTGGTCAGCGTGGCATTGAATATTATCCAATTTCAGTGTTCAACAGTCAGATGAGATGGGTTTTGTCTTGCTCTTCTGGATGCAGCAGTCCAGTTCTTAGTAAGCCATTTTCGTATCGTGGGTCGCATACTACCATGTACAGTCGTGCGTCTTAGCTCACCCACTGCTCCTCATGACGCCATGTTTATCGTATTAGAGATCTCACGATATCCTAGAGAACCATACACAATGCTTCAAGTCCCAAAGTGATGTCGTAAAAGTCATGGGGTCACTGTCAGCATGCATGCGCCAGTAGTACGCACCCAACCCTCACCCTACTGTCTCGAGATTCGTCTTCATGACAACAACTTTACTCGATTAAATGAAAGATTCAGATACAACGGCATTTACTGGATATGTCTCATATAGTACGCCAGTACGGAAACTTTGTCGGAGACATTTCATCTGCAACATAGGTCAGCACTCGAATCGGCGACTTCAACCCCGTCCCGCGAAGCTGAGTGGCGTCCACATCTTACAGAAATCCAACCACTTTTATGTCGAATCAGGTTCTGCCATATTCAAAACATACTCAGATATCTCACGGAGGTTTTTGGAGAGTTTCATGGCGGACTCATCGAGCAGTGCTAGTATATAAAGTCAGTGTGAAGAATGTCGCTGGAACAAAACTCATCTTTACATACTCTCAACACCACACACATCTCCCCCAACCAATCTACTCTTTCAAATAAAAAAAGAAGAAGGAGCAAAATGCCCCTCCCCCGCCCCCCAATCTTCGACATCCTAATTCTCGGCGCCGGCCCCGCCGGTCTCAACGCCGCGCTCACCTGCGCCCGCACCCGCACCACAGCCCTAGTCCTCGACTCACAGCAATACCGCAACGAGGGCATATCGCACATGCACACCGTCGCCTCCCGCGACCACATCGCCCCCCATGAATTCCGCAGCATAGCCCGCTCGCAAATCGAAGCTCGATACGACACCGTCTGGTTCCACCACGCCACCATAACCTCCGCGCGCAAAACCAGCCTCACCCTCCCTAACAATAACAACAACAACACCCAGCCATATGCCGGTTTCGAAATCGTCGATAGCGAGGGTACTTTGTACCGGAGTAAAAAACTCATTTTAGCAACTGGATCCAGGGATATCCTACCCGCTATACCGGGGTACGCTGAAAACTGGCCTAGCCACATCTACCAATGTCTTGCGTGCGACGGGTACGAGCAGCGCGGTAGCGCTGTAGCTATCCTGGGCTTCGATTCACCGGCGTACACGCATTTTGTGCATATGGCGGCGGCGCTGGAGCCGGAGTCGATTACCATCTTAACGAATGGACCGGTGAAGGAAGATGTCAAGGTGAAAGAAGCGATTGGAGTGGCGAAAGCGATGGGAGCGACGGTAGATGAGCGGTGCATTGAGCGGCTGGTTAATAACGGGAAGAGCCATGTGGAGGGTGTGACTGTGCGGTTTGGAGGGGGTGCGGAGACCAGGTTTGGGTTTGTGGTGCATAAGCCTGTGACTGTGAATCGGGCGCAGGGGCTTATTGAGGAGTTGGGGGTGGAGACGGTGGGGGAGGAGGTGGGTGGGCATGTGAGGATTGTGAATCCAATGTTTAATGAGACGAGTGTAAGGGGGGTGTTTGCGGCGGGGGATACGATGGTGGCGATGAAGCAGGTTGTTATTGCGATGGCCGAGGGGGTCAAGGCTGCGGCGGGGGCGGGGATGCAGATTGCGCAGGAGAAGACGGCGGAGGTGGTGAGGGGTTTGGGCGAGGTGAAGGAAGTGGTCGGAGGGGAGAAGGAGAAGGTGGAGGTTGTGTCGCATTGAATATTTCAGTGTACTCGCTGGACTTCAAAGATGATGACAATTTCCAAGGAAGTAGAAATTTTCCCTAGCGAATGTAACTTATTCGTATTTAATAAATCAGCACTGACATACCGAGATAGTGACTCTTTATCTATTATGAAGCCTTCTTTACCTCCCCTCTCTCAATCGCCTCCAAACATAAATTAAACCTTACTCATTCTTCTTGTGAATCCTGGGCAAACAAAGCCAGAACCCAAGGATAACCGCAAGCAGTGCCAGAATAATCGGCTGCAGAACCTGCACCCCCTTTGCCTGCGCAATAGCGCCGACCGCAAAGGGAAAAATAGCAGCTCCGCTCCCGCCAAAAGCAGCCGCAAACCCTATCGCGCCGACATGCAAGTGACGCGGGAGCAATTTCGTAGCCGCGACGATTGCAGCGGGGAAAAGAGGACCGAGGAAGAATCCCTGCAAACTAACTGCAACGGCCGACACGTAGAATTGCGGGACGAGCCAGAAGATCAGCTCGAGGGCCATGGTTAGCGGGAGGTAAATCTATTTCCCCGTGTGTCAGTTCATTACAAACATCCTGGTACCGATGGCCGGAAAAGTAAGACCAAAACTTACAGAAATAGCCAATTTCTCTCCTAGTCGTGGTGTCACGAAGCCCAACACAACTCTTCCTACGGTAATTCCCATCCAGAATCCCGTTGCAGTCATTCCACTTGCGAATTCCTCGCCGTCACGCACCTCGAGCATGAACTTGACGATCCAGCCTCCGAGGGCAACTTCGATGCCTACGTAGCCGAGCAAGAACAATGCACAAAGCCAAGTAACTCTGGCCTGAGGAAGGCGGAGAAGCGCTTCCTTCATGCGGTTGTCCTTTGTGTCCGTGGTACGCGGGTTAGCAGCACGGTATTTTGCACCCGTTTCGCGCCAGAAGGCAACCGTTGATGTGGCGAGCTCCAAGACAGCCATACCGACCTGCAAACATCTTATTGTGAGATGACGGGTCCAATGTGAGTTTTCGAGAAGAAGGGGGATATCGACGTACCATAACGTAGTAGAAGGTATACCACGGCAACCTATTTCCTCTAGTAACCATAGTCGTAGCAATTAGCGGCGCAAGTACAGCACCAACACCGTAGAAAGCATGCAAAAAGCCTAGAACCTCGTTTGGATTCGCCATGTTGCCGATCCAAGCATCTATTTTTCGTCGTCAACGTCGTCTCTCTCTTTTTTTCCCTAAAAAGAACTTGACTGTACTTACTCCACGCAGCATCAGCAAGTCCATTTCCAAACCCAGCCAGCATAAAAATAATAACCAAGGCGGGATACGGCGGGTGCACAGCAATAACAATGTACGCGATCAAGTGGCAGCTCGGCGCAATAATCGCAATACCTCTTTGCCCAAACTTGAGATGAATGGTATTGTTGAGCAGCGCTGACGCCGTGTAACCCGCGAGTGGCGAGAGGAAGACGAGCGAGATGACGACGAAAGATAATTTGTAGTACTCTTGAAGCTATAATTTCCGAATAAAGCAAAACCACGTTAGCAACTTGACTCCTTGATACTTTTCTTTTCCAAGACTTTATTCTCCGAGCCGCGTTTGTCAAACCATACCTCTCATCCATCTCCGGAGAATTCCATCTCAAAACGACGGGAAAAAAAAAGAAGAAAAAAAAAGGGATTTTCAAAAACATACATATGGTATCAGCGCCCCATACGCCGCATCATTACTCCCCATAACGACAAAGCTCCAAAACGCCGCTGCGGTACGAAAAAAGTTGGAGCGAGGATGATTCCACCGCTCCAGCTTCTGCGCCGCCTGCGTCGTCGGCGACGGCAAGTTCTCCACAGGATCGCTACTCTGCACACCCTTTGTATCAGACAGCCGCAGACCACCAGCAGCACCGCCCGTAGTAGCAGTAGTACTATGATGATTGGAATGTAGGGAGCCGCCTGATACTTTGGCATCTGGGGGCTTGGCGAGGTACTCGGAGACGTCGTGGAGTTGGATGGGCTGCTCGAGGCAGGTTGATGCGCTTCCGTTTTGGTGCATCGCAGCCGCCATTTTCTTGTGATTGTTTGGAGAGATGGTGGTGAGAAACGATTGTTGTTGTTGGATCGGTTGAAGCAAGAAGATTGGGTTGCGTGCGTAAAAAAAACGGTCGGTATTCCCCTGCCGGATTGTTTAAATACACTTCCACTTATACGATGACGTTGGTTTCGACTCCACAGTCTCCAGAGAAGTGTGTGTGTGTGGGTGTGTGGGATGATGAAAAAGAAAAGAAACACAAACGCCCTTTTTCGTCGCACCGCCTTTTTATTAATCGGGCTTCTTGATCACTTGGCTGCGCTGTTCACTTGACCATCGTCATGGCTGTTCGACTCAACACTTTGGGTCGTATTACTCCACATGAAAGATGCACGTTATCGACCAATCAGTCGCAGCTGGATCTCGCACTTTAGCGTCAATGGCGGTGCGGGCGGGTGATGTTCGGGAGATTAATCAGAGAGAGTGGCGCGGATGCGGATTTGGAGGCCTTTTTTCCCCAGGTTTCTTGGGGGTTTTTTTGGCTTGTCGGCCCGACTCGGAACAAATAGACTTCGTCTGCTTACACGTGACTTTGTCAGAAAAAGGAAAATAGTACACCACGTACATGTGAATTTATTGTACGCGATAGATATTGCGACATCGACCCCCAATGACAAATCCCATGCTATTGGAAATACCGGTGTGTGGGCGAGCAGGGTCGTCGTGCAAGGTCAGAAACGTTGTCGAACTTGGGGGAGCGCGCCTTACTCCAGTTCTGGCTACTAACTCGAAGCATCGATAAACTGCGAGGTGAAACCGCACCCGTTGCAACGAGGCGAGGGGTCCACCCCCACCCCCCATTCCAATACAAGCAACGTACCCGAACTTGTCACAAATAATGCACATCTCCAACAACCAGTTATTCACCGCTGTACTTGCCCTGCGTGCCCCCCCTCCCCCAAAACGCGTCAGCTCCGCGTCGCATCAGTGCCTCGAGAAATATATGGGAAAAGCAAAGAGATGAATTTTTTTGGATGATATTTGAAATCGTTATCGTAGTTTGTCTTATACCTTGCCTACCTCCCCCCCCCTGCCATTAAACCGAACCTAAGTAATACTATCGTGTATGAAGGGAGTTAAGGATGATTCACGGAATCTGCCTTACCCGGTTACACACCTGTTTTGCTACTGCTCCTTCCTCACCCTGCGGCCTCTTCTTCGACTACGTATTGCCATTTTTGCTTGAAGGGTATCTTGATGTGTGTCGTCGTCGTCTTCCACCACAAACAAATAAACCAATCAGTCTTAGTGAAGAAAAAGTTGAACAACAAAAAAAAGGGAAAATGAAAAAACAGTGCGGATGAAAGAAAAAAAAGGAAAGGGAAAATAACAGTACAGTCGAAAAAAGAAGTTTATAGATGAGATTTCAACACTTGCATTTCAACGACTGTAGAGAAAAAAAAAGGTTTTTGTCCATATACACATACTTCGCTCTTGTGAAAAAAATGGTCTCTTGCTAGATTTCCGTTGCTCGCCCCAGTCGTTCCGCACGTAACCCCTTTTAAAAAGAAGGGAAATATTGACAACGGGGAAGACTCTTTCGCAGCGCTAGCTTCGACTTATTTTTCTTTTTGAGAAGACGAGGGCGAAAGCGTTTATGAGGGCTGGAGGACAGCGGGGCCGGCAAGAACCTCGGCGTCGGTGATGGCCTTGCTCTTGGTGATCATCATGTAGACTTCACCAGAGATGCCGTCAGGGACCTTGCAGTTGCCATCGGTGATGTCAGTGAATTGGGCACCGGTACTGTGTAAAGTGTTAGTCTTCAGATCTAATATTCAAAAAGCGAATGTGAAAAACTTACGGAGCAACGAAAGCGCAGAACATGGCACCAGAGGGCTGAGCAGGGTCGGCGAGCTTGAGGTTCTGGCCAATGGTAGCCTGCTCGGGGTTCTGGAGGGCGATGGAGGGGAAAGGCTGGATGTTGAGGTTGGAGCCTTGAGGGCAAGACTTGATGAATTGAGCGGCGAGGGTGAAGACGGCACGGGGTCCAAGAGCGACATCGAAAGCAGCGGGGACGGGCTCGGCACCGGCGGCGATACGGATGAAAGCCTGGTGACGGGCCTCGACGGTGACAATGGATCCGGCGGCGGCAAGGACATCGGAAGAGTTGACAAGAGGGGCGGCACCGAGGTAGGCGGAGATACCAACAGCCTCAAGGACACGCGCAGTCTTGACCATGGCGTCGGCGCTTGCGAGAGCGGCGTCAAAGTTGTACTCGCAGGGCTCGACGGGCTTTGCGCCAGCGCCGGTAATGGCGGACTGGAGAGTCGTTACGTGGGTGGCCTCGGTCTGGCCAACCATCATAAGACTCTTGACCTGGGCCTCGCTCAGACCAAGGGCCATGAAGTCGCTCATGGGGAACTTGGCGAAACCCATGCTGTAGAATTTTGATTCGAGATGCTCGGCAGTCAGGGCACTGGTGTTGCTGTTAGCTTCTGCTCACCACCATCGAATTCCAGCCATGCACTTACAAGTTGAGGATGTCAACATCAGTCAATCCGCCTGCTGCTGCTGCCGCTGGAGATGCCGCTGCTGAAGCCTCTGCCTTTGCTGCGGGCTCAGCCTTCTCGGTAATTGTTGGGGGCATCGCCATTGGCATCGATGCCATTTCCCGACGACCGTACTCGGCAGGGATGGCAGCCACAAGAGGCGCCACGGCCACGAGGCCCTTGAGTATGGATGTTATGCTCGGCATAGTGTTGAATTAAAGTTTGTTGGTTCGGTGTTTAAAAAGGTTAGACAAGTTGGTAATGAGGGACCTCCAGCAAAGACTCGCTTTGGATTCGATTATTAAAAATTGTCTAGAAAAAAGTCCAACCAGGGACTGAGAAAAGGCAAACCGTAAGGAATGTGGTTTGATTATTAGGTACGGAAGAGAAGAGAGAAGAA